TGACCAGCATGCCGGGCAGCAAGTGCAGCTTGAGGTCGCGATTCTTGAAGAAGCGCTGAAATCTCTGCACCAGCCGCTGATTCAGCTCCTTCTCCGACATCTGCTGATACTTCTCTGTGATCAGGCTGCCCAGTTGTGTCTCCTGCCCGAAGAACTGATCGAGAAAGTCGCGCGTCATGTTGCCCGTCTGCGGCAACTGCTTCCGCTCCTCCAGCTTCTGCAGCACGAACAGCTTCGTGCAGCGCAGCATGCTGAACTCGCGCAGACACTCGTACAGTCGCATCGGTATGGTCGAGCCGAAAGTGCGTGTCACGCAGCTCGGGCTTGAGGCATCGCAGGTTTTCAAGGCGCGCTGCAAAGTATGCAACACCAAATTTCACTTTCAACTTTACTATGTGGGCGTGGGAAACAGTGCTACGTGGGCATTACGTGGATTAGTGTACTTATTGTAACTTAGCAAAGGTGTTTACGCTATTCAGGCCGGTCTCTTATCTAATTAACAATTAGCTAAAGCCTTTTTGTTAATTATTCTAAAGTTGGGAATATGTACATTAATTTAATACTTTTACAACACATTTAATTGTATAAAAACGATTATGATCTGAAGTTTTTTGTTATTTTTTTGTTCACTTTATAAAGTGGAAAATCTGTTAATCAATTTGATACTTGATATACTAAATTCAAAGCTAAGTTAATCCTTGAAAGCCTAGGAAAGCCTTGCTTATTTTAGTAGTTTTCTCTTGATAAAGTTATATTTGATGTCTATAATATGCAGATGTTCTGACTCTGGGCTGGACTACAGCCATAAAAAACTAGATTTTGGTTCAGTATTTGAAATATATGCCTATAGAACCTATGTTCGCTTACTGCAGCTGAGTGAAGAAGGCATAAAGGTAATATTTAATTAAAACCCCAGAAACGTCGAGAAAGACAGCGAAAAACGGTCGCAATTCGCAAACCTCTTCCAGTATAGTTCAACAATTACAATCAAAGGATGCCCTAATAAACTATTTACTTTTGCATAGAAGCACTTCTGCACGATTTAATATGGATTTCTTTTGATGTATAGCAATGCATTGAAGCTATGACTTTGATTAAGAATGACAAAGGCTTTTTTTCACCTTAAAATAAACTGTATCAGCCATGAACTTTAAGAACTTGATTAGCACGTACTTTGATTGCAAGGAACTTCTTTTCCTCCAATAGTAGTAGGAGTTTTCGGGGATATAAACTGAGTAGATAACTTTCTTTGATATCATTACGATACTGATATGTGACCACAATTTTAGCGTGATGAAGTCATAGACTTTGTATGAGAGAACACTTGACCCTATACAGTAGTACTTCAGTATATCATACTGATATTATTATAGTAGTATATTATTACTCGTTCCGAAATTCTGCTGTCAATGAGGCCTAACACTTAACACCAATCTAAATAATGTGATATATGTTTTTGATGCTTTACCCAATCGAAGGCCTGCGCGAGGCCCACGGCCAGCAGGATATGCACAGCGAGCACAATAACACGCATTGCGAAGTCTGAAGTTTGACGTCTCGATGTGGGCACAACTGCACGAGAGCAGCAACAGCTTTGAACTGAATGCATCAGACAGATCGCGGCGGCTGCCAGTGGCCGCCGATCCTGGTGGCCAAGCGCGGCACAGCCAACTGGTTTCACCGCGAGCGGCCAGTGGCGATCGAGCTCTCGCCAATTTAGTTTAGCAGGTCACAGTGGCTGGGGCCATGGCAGTGGCTGCAGTCTCTGCTGGCCATCGTCGGGACGGTGCATCGTTGGCCCCTTTTGGCTGGTCTGAGTTATAGTCGGCCCAGTTGCTGAAACGTACCAATTTTCAATGTCAAGAGTCAAAGAAAACAAAAAGAGGTACGCCGAAGTGTTGGCTGGATTATCGCACGATTTAATGATTGTTATTTAAAGCATGCTGCCAGCTCTTATCAGTGACAGCCTTATCAGCACTTTGTTAACTTTGCGCTGCGGGCAGGTGGCGCGGCGGTGGTTTAGAAACTTGGAAACTGTCGCAAAGTGGAACAATTGCAGCCGGACTTAAACTGGTCGACAATTGAATTGGCAGCGCCTTAATTAGCCGCACTGCCAATCAAGTGAGAGTTTTATTAATTAGTCGCCTGTCCATAATGAGATCTAAGTGCTAGAGAAATTCAATAATTATTTTCGATCAATTTATTTTCCTCTTCGATCTGCGACCCAATTCGATTGGCGGCGGGGGCGGGACTTTCTATCACGTTTAACAAACTGGAGCCGACGAAAGAACCGTAAATCATGACCCACCTGAGTCGCATACTAATCAAGAGGTGATTTCACTTTCCATCAAAGACAGCAACAAACAAATATTTGATTTCGTTAAATAATTGCGTTGTGTATTAAATAAATAAATAATTGTATATGTGTGTTTGTGCTTGTGTTGTTTGGTAAATAGATAATTTAAACTAGACTTAAATTATTATTTGGTTGCATGCTCGCTCGCTGAGGTATTCTGTGGCCTGCGACCAGCTCCAGTCCACTCCAATTACCACTCCTTCTCCAGCCACACGGGCTGCTGGGTGTGCGAGTGGGAGTAGACGACGGGCACGGGTGCCGGCGCGGCAGCGTAGGCGGCGGCCGCCTGGACGGGCAGAGCACGGGAGAGCATCTGGCCAATGGCCAGCACCAGCAGAATGACACCGACGCCCAGGCCCTTTATCGAGACGACAGTCAAGGCGGCCAGCAGGGTGGTGATCACGCCCACAACAAATGCGCCCGGCACCAGGGCGAAGCTGATGCGGCGCAGGAAATGATGACCGAAGGTGCGACTCTCTGTGTACGATAATATTAATGATATACCATATAGAATATATGAGATGATCTAGCTCAGCTCTAGCTACTAACCAGTCACATCGGAGTCATTGCTGGCCTGCTGCTGGCAGAGCACCAAATCGCAGAGCAGACAGAGACCGAGCAGCGTGATTGCAATTTTCTGAGCGGCAGCCATTTTGTTGATGCTCTTTAATCCTGAGTGTGTAATCCGTAATGCGATCTGCTCAGTGTGCCCAATGTAGACGGTACCAGTGCTGGCTGACAATTGAATGTGCTGTCCACATTGACATTGGCTTTTATCTGAGGGCTGAGGTCTGGGCCATTGGCTACTTGAAATTCGACAGCCGGACGTCGCACGAACGTGCGCCAAAACAAGCAATTCGTGCCGCTGCCGCCAAGCGGAATGTCGCGCCGTTCGATGACCAATCTGACAACGGGTCAGTATACCCTAGGGACTGAGAGAAATGGCTTTCAAGTGGTATATTGGCTGGGTCTTGGGACATCGGGGACAAGCGGAAGTTGATATTTTATATATGCCATTGTCTTATCTGAATTGAATCGATAGAGATCGATTTTGTTTATATGCAAACGATAATTATCGATAGACAGGTTGTTAAGATCAGTTAATCAATGAATGCTGACTAATATTAGTTTAGAGCTGAGATTCGACTGTCTTTTAACAGACATTGATAACGTATCGATACCAATATTGTTTACATGAAAAGTATATTATTGTATATTTTGGATAGATATCGAAACCAGAGCTATAACTTTATTTGATTATATAACCACAATAAATATTGATAAATATAATTTTCAAAATATTTTTCTACTACTAAGACTATAAGTCGTCGTTGAGTTGGTTCTATATTAAAAATGATCGATACTAGATTTAATATCGATATAAAGATTGTTCAAGCTGAATTTGTGGTAAAAGTTTGTGGCAAAGTAAAGACTTTGCCCAAGACATTCATAACATTTTGCTTCTGTCTCCAGGGCATCTTCTAGTCGTTCAGTGCCCACTAGCTTACTAGCTCGCTTATGTTTTATTTCATATTTTTATTTTGAATATGCATAGCTATCAATGATTTTCACTCTGCAACTCGGCGGTGGCAACTGCGTGCCCTTTAAGGTGCAAGCGTTGCGACTTACTTTTTGATTTTGATTTGGCTTTGGCTTTGGTCATGTTGCACTTGGGTGCTCAGATTGAAAAACTTTGGGACATGGGCATTCTTTCACGACGCGTGTCTATATATTGAGGGCAGCTGCCGACAAATAGACGGAACCATTCGCTTTCATTTCTTCTTTTGTTTTTGTGCGTATATATATACATATGTATATACATATATGAGCAAAATTGATTTATCAGCTAATTGACAAAAGGCAATGCATTTTAATTATCAATGCGTACCCATTGATAAATGTATATGTGTGCGAGTGCAGACATACTTTTGGTAGGCATTGTTCAAGTCCACAATTCACTTTCATTACAAACTGCAAAAGCCCTCGAAACGTGTCTAGCCTCTATAAAGACTGATCCATAGTACTAGATTGTGATATAGTATTATGAAGTGAATTACTTTAAAAGCGTAATCGGAATCAAATTCTATTGTATATACATAAGTACTGCTCTTTAATAGCAGATTAGATAAGTTGAATCGCAGCTCTTCTAGTAATTCGCTTATCTAGAAAAAACTTCAATTTGCTATTGTTGTTATAGAAGATAATGAGTTTTTATTATACCCTGAACGCGTTGCAAATAGGAAATCAGAGTATAATAGCTCTGTTAGAGCGTAAGTAACTAGCAAAAGTAGGCGTGGTATGCCGTATATAGCATATGTATTATGGCTTAGGGTGAGCAGTTGAATCAATCTATATACATATATGCATCTCTCCTATCGACCTCTATGTTGTATCTCATATAGACTTGGCGACTTAGATGTGTTTTTCTGTATGTCAACAGCATACTAGGTCTATCAATATTTTTAGTAGAAAACTTCTTTTGTTAATAAAATTTAAGTAAACATATTGAAATTAATATTTGTATTGAATTTATTCTTTATACTACATTCCGTTGTTCTATGTATATCAATGTATATATATTATAATCTAAATTTTGTTATTGAAATATTTTTTCGTGACAAATTGCTAAGCATAAACGAAACTGTAAATACATGAGGCACAGATCGAATTTCCAAATTACCTAGAATCGATTAGCAACGAGTTTAGATAAACGGCATTAAGTTATGTGAAAGTCGTTAGTTAGTGGAGAGGCCAAATATGTTAAGCGGATTCAATAGGAATGGCAGAATTTACTTTCTAGCCTGGATTTCAGATACAGTTGTTGGCGAGACGCGAGACACCCGCTCCCAGCTCAATCAGAGCAATCGCAAAAGCTGGAGCAGAATGAAGATGGCGAAGCTGCTGCAGCAGTAGTAGAAGAAGAAGCAGATCATTTTCCAGGCAATTCTGTCAACAACTTTCTCATGCGATAGCCGTCAGAGCTAATTGTCTCTGGTTATGGCCAAAGAATTACACGAGCGACCGTTAGCAGTCAGAGCGGGAGAGCAGCTCGCCAGACTACTTAACGTTTTCATATTATTTATGGCCAAGACGCAAGCTGGTCAATTACAGCTAAAAGAAATTCAATAATGGAGATCAATGAGAAATTGCAGGCCTACTCCAGATATCTATCGTGTTTGCACTGCAGGCCAACAATGTTTTGACCACAATTCAATTGGGGAAGATTCTGAATCGGCGTCTTCTGCCAGTGCATCTGCTTCTTCTGCTTCTTCTTCTTCACAGTCTTCTTCTTGGCTATCCAGTTGTGCCGCAAGATGTTGCAAGCGCGTTGGCAGTGACACAGTCTTAAGCTGGCTGTGCCCAATTCCAATACCAATTCCAGATCTGGTCTTGGCTTTCCTCGTAGCATGTTCTGCCACTGCGACAGCAATTGCTGCTGCTGCTGCTGCTACTGCTGCTGCTGCAGCGGCTGCTGTTGTTGCTGCTGCAACTGCCGCAGCTGAGTTGATAAAATGCATGTGGCACGCCGATCGTGCCACATTTTGTGACTGGCCAGCGTGTGGTGCGCACACACTCAGTATTCAGTGCAACGATTCTTCTCTCTGACATGCACCAAAGATGAGCCGCTTTGTGAGTTTGTTAACGCTTTTGGCGCTGTGCGCCACCTTGGCCAGCAGCCAGCAGCAGGACACGGGCGAGGCGACCACAGCGGCCTCGGAGGAGACCGCTGCGCGCGGCCTGGCCAGCAGCTATGAGCCGGAAGACAAGCCGACGCTGCGGAAGAACTCCCACATCTACATGGGCATCTATAAGAACTACAAGAGCACCTATCTGGGCAACAAGACGACCAGCGAGTACCGGAAGCGATTGCGAGAGCGGGTGAGTGCCGCGCACTTGGCCAACAATGAGGCGGTTGTGGAGCCCGCCAACGAGGCAGATGAGTACCTGGAGCAGCAGCAGCAACAGCAGCAGGAGCTGGCCATCGATGATGCCCTGGCGCAGGAGCTGCGCAACGAGGCGAATGCCGAGGCGCTGCTGGAGGCACAGACCGATGCGCCCATCTATGATGAGAACGAGACGGCGGTGGGCAAGAAGCGGCGCAAGCGCAAACGCAAGAACCGTAACAATATCAAGAAACTGGATGAGCAGCTGCCGGAGCCAGAGGCTGACTGGGATGATGAGCCCGGAGCGGACAACGTGGAGCGCTACCATGTGGGACCCGGGCTCAATGTCAGCCTCGACATGAGCAACGACATCGTGCGCGTGAAGCTCGACGGCGAGAACTTAAAGGAAATACTCGCCGCGCGCTGGCTGACCGCGGATAACAGCGAGGAAGGTGAGTTCACCGGCGATTGGAGAATATAGTGACGACTTGATATACAGTTTTACCTGCAATTACGCTTAGGTCGCGGCAAGAAGTATGATATGATGACCAAAGTGCTGCCGCTGTTCATTTTGCCGTTCCTCATCCAATCGGCGATTGTGCCGTTCCTGGTGACCAAGCTGAAGCTGCTGCTGGTCAAGTCGATATTAGTCGGCAAGCTGGCCATATTCCTGCTCATCATATCGGCCATCAAGAACAGCAACAAAATGATGCAGTCCTACGAGGTGGCGCCCTCATATTGGGCCAGCGAGCCCAGCCGCAGATCCGAGCTGGCGGCAGCGGCCTCGTCCGCGTCAGCTGCCTACAATGGCTACCGAGTGGAGGGCAAACCCACGGCCTGGGTCAACTAGAGACAGGGAGAGAGAGTGGCAGAGAGATGGGGAGCGGCAAAGAGTGAGAGAGTGTAGACAGCTAGTTGATCAAACAAACAAAAGACAAATTGCAATAAGTTTCGCGATAAGTTATAAAATATGAAAATAAATAAAAACAAATCTGGTGCGTCGCTGTGTTTTATTTATAGAGTGTGAGAGGTACTTATACGCAGGTGGTCTTTAAAAAAAATAGAGTAGAAAACAAGTAAGAAAGCTCTAGTCGAGACTGCTCGACTACGAGATCCCCTG